CAAATTTGACATTTAAAGTTCGTAACGGATACTACAGCCTAAGACAGAAAATTGTTTGTGCTGGTCCACGTCTTCGTATAGCCCCCATATAACGGTACCTCCCGATATTCGATACTTTGTTGATTTTAGCGACATTATTCACCGGAATTGTTTCAAATTTGGTAGTTGATGTTCGTAATAGTTGCTACAGCCTATGAAAGAAGATTGTCTGTGCAGGTCCACGTCTTCGTATAGCCCTCATATAACGGTACCTCCCCATATTCGGTATTTTGATGATTTTAACGACATTATTCACTGGAAGTGTTTCAAACATGGTATTTGAAGTTCGTAATGGATGCTACAGCTTATGACAGAAAATTGTCTATGCAGGTACACGTTTTCGTATAGCCCCCATATAGGGGTACCTCCCGATATTCGGTATTTTGATGATTTTAGCGACATTATTCACTGGAAGTGTTTCAAACATGGTATTTGAAGTTCGTAATGGATGCTACAGCTTATGATAGAAAATTGTCTATGAAGGTCCAGGTCTTCGTATAGCTCTGACATGACGATACCTCCCTATATACGGTATTTTGATGATTTTAGCTACTTTATTCACCGTTTATTTCAAGTTTCGAATTTAAATATGGTAATGGTTTATGACAAACAAAGCCTATATACACTGGTGGCCAAAACTAAAGCAACTTAAATCGTAAAGACAATAAATGTCCTGTAACTTTTACAAAAATAAACAAATCGTAATTATCTTTCCAGCTTTAAATGAGGGGTTTAATTCACTTTTAAGAAACTAAAAATAAAAATACAAAAATAATTTTGAACGAAAAATAATATTTGGAAAACTAAAATGACCCAATTTTTGCTTGGTCAAAACTAAAGCAACTTTTGATTTTTTATTTTAAAATAATTAAATTTTGGCTAGTAGTCGATAGCATAACCATTATTTTTGATAGTAGCTTCACACCTACGAGGCATTGAATCAATAACACGCTCAATTTGATCCTTGGGTGTGCCTTCCCAGGCACCCCGAATTCTTTAGAAAATGTTGTGCTTATTTATTTCCGAATCTCTCTTGATCTTCCTATCTACGATACTCCAAAGGTTTTCTAAGGAGTTTAGGTCAGGTGATTGTGCCGGCCATAACAAAACATGAATTTTTTGACTCCCGCAACCAATATTTGACAAGTTTTGATACAAGTTTGGGACCATTGTCATGCTGAAACAGCCAAATCAGCCGAATATTGTACTCAGCGTAAGGGAACAACGTGATGTCCAACACATCTTTGTAAACAAACCGATCCACAACTTTCTTTATTTTATGGATAGACACAAGTCCATAGAAAGAAAAATAGCGCCACGCCATTTTTGACCCTCCCCCATGCTTCACTGTACCTTTGCAACACTGCGGCTTGAGTCCTTCATTTTTTGGTCTTCTCACCGTAAAATTTTTCACGTCTGAGCCTTTAATATTAAACGTAGACTCATCCCAGAAATAATGTTTTTTCCATTGAGCTTGATTCCACTTAATATTATCGTTTCCGAAAGCCTTTTTGATTTTTTCAGATATAAATGGTTTTTTGATGTCTTACGGGCACGCAGACCAGCTGCCACTACTCGTCTACGCACTGATCTCGAGCTTATATCCAATGATTGCTCTCTCACCAATCCTGTTGAACTCTTAAATAGTTGTTTTTTTATTTCTCTCACAATTTGTGGATCAGTATGGGCTGAAGTTCTTCACGGCCTTCATCCGTTATGGACTGTTACTACTGATCCAGTTTCAAAAAACCGACTTAGTGCACAGACATAATTATGAAATCACATAAATATTTATGAAATATTTCTCGGAAATCATTTTCTGTGATATGTTGTTTTGATAATCACTGATAATTTGCTGTTTTATTCAGGTACAGTATTTGCTTCTAGCCATTTTTAAATTTTTTTTTTGGCAGTACTTAAATAACGAAAAGAAAAACATATGCTGTTGTAAAAAACTTCTCAAAAAGGATTTATGACAAGCGAAATTGTCGAAGGAAGCAAAAAGCGATAAATATCACAGTAAAAACCACTGAAATTGCAGCGGTTATATGAATGTACAACAGAGTTGCTTTTGTTTTGTCCAAGCCAAAATCGGGTTAATTGACTTTACCAAACATAATTTTTTATATAAAAATGAATTTTGGTTTTATGTTTTAGGTTTTTAAAAAGTGAATAAAGTACCTAATTTAAAACAAGAAAAACTTTCTCATTTTCTTAATTTTTGAAAAAGTTACAGGGCATTCATTCTCCTTGTAATTTCAGTTGCTTTAGTTTTGGCCACCAGTGTACATAGCTAGATCGACTCAGCTCGGCGGAAACCAATATTTAGAGGTGTTACATATTTCGGTATTTTGTATTTGATTTTAGCTACATTATTCACCGAATTTTGTTCAAGTTTCGCAATTGAATATTTTAATTGCCAAATTCGTTCCCAATGATGGAGGCCTCAGTCATAATATTTCTCAGACCACTGTTCAACATCAACAAACTATCATGGAGCAGGTAGCACCCACTTCTATATCAAACATAATTTTGTTTGTTGCAAAACGTAAACAACCAAAGTCCCCCCAAACACACACAAAATATCCCATAACAAAGAAAATAGGGGGAAATTCAATCCAACCAACCAAAGAAAAATAAATCCCATTCAAACAAATGAGACCAATTGAGCAGTCTGCTCCGTCATCAAACCTGTTTGAATGGGGATAATGGGAAATATGCTCTCATACCCACATTGTTTACATTGGGTTTGAACGACAAAGTGTGTGTGTGCGTTTGTTTTGTATCTTATGGATTCCGTTCTCTCTTGTCTGGCATGCCGATACATCATAGGTGCACAAAATGAACATTGCGCTTGTATGTGTGAGAGAAAACAAAAATGCACGTAAAGAAAATTTTGATTACAGCAAGCGGTCGATGCTTGGACAGCGAACACATGTGTGACTAGATACATTTTTTTTATGAAAATAAAATGAAAATAGTATATATGTAATTGGATTTCTAATTCGAATTATTTAGAAAAATATAAGTATGGAGGTTTTCCAATTAACATATTAATTAAATTAAAAATACATTGAATTTGTATGAAATAACTTCTTTTGTAATTTAATGTTTGAATATGTTTATTTTACATTGAAAAATAATGTGTGAAAATGTAGATTTGTTTCAAAAAGAAGTAAATTTCAGTTGATAAGGGGTTCAAGGGGTTTAAAAAATATACGTAATAATGTTATATACAGTTTGACTTAAAACAGGATGTTTTCCGATGACAATAAAAGGCACTGTACATTTCCAAAAGCATAAAATAAGAACTCAACATATTCATAATTCCCTACGCATCCAGTCTCATTAAATCTGTCATTTGTTTTCTCTAAGTGTTCACGGCAAAACAATGCGTACACCACCCGAGCATGTGTGTATCCGTTGAAGTCTAATCAACGACTGAAAGCGAGAGAATAAAAATACACACGAACGCGACATCGACGAAAATGTACTATTTTGTGCATCTTAGCGATACATTATCTTTGAGATTGTTTTTTCCTTTTCTCTCTCTCTCTCTCTCCTCATGTAAGTGTGTTTTGTTTTCAATTCACATTGTTTTGTGTTCGTTGGGGTTCGAGTTGCGTGTCGTCGTCTTTCTGTCAAACAGAAACCTGTTTTCGCAAAATGTACGCTCCAACTAGCGGCCTCTGGCTACTGCTTTAGTTTATTACGGACAGCAAGCGAATACGGTCGTTACGAATTCGAATTTCCATCCAATTGGGAGGAGAGTAGACTTGTGTGATTTTTTTTTTGTATCTGAATAAGAAAAAAAAATTCAAAAAGTTTATTTGCCCCATGCATGCCGGAGTGTGTGCGATTCAAACATGTTCTTTCTTTGCGGCAACAAATAATGTAATGAAATATATCATGAATGCAATGTTGAAAAACTGAGAAAAATCCATTAGCGCTGACTTTGGAATTTTCAATCGGAAAATTTAATTGAATGCGAGAGCACGTTTTGCGCCGTGAATGCGTAAGTGGCGGTGGCGGCGACCAAATACGACTTTGGAAGTGCATCGAAATTATTTCTTTTTGTGGAGCCCAACGAAACCGAATTTGGATTTATTGTGAATACTTATCTGCCAATTTGAAATAAATTAGAGTAATTTTTTTCTAATTGAAAAAAAAATTTTATAAGAAAAATTTCTTTTGTGAAAAGTTATTGAAAATGAAAGAAATTTCCAATTAAAGAAAAATAATAAAAAAAAATATTGAAAATAAAAACCGGTTATTTGAAGGTGTTTTTGTGTTGAAAAAAAAAAAATTCTTGAAAAAATACAATTTTAAAACCAATTAAATATTGAATACCAAAACCTCACCAAAGTGTCTTTACTTTTGCCAACCATCCGCAAAAATTCTGAAACACGACTGGAATTCTCAATTTCCTTTTTTCGATTTTGACACTTTACTCAAATAACACCGGCATAATCAAACCAATTTAACTTGGCCGGCTACTACGAATGAGGGAAAAAAAGAAAAAAATCGAAAAAAAAATAATTGCAAAAAGAGAAGGTCCCCCAAGGAGTGGTCATGAAAAATAGCCAGTCGGCCAGTCCTTGAAAAAAGTTTCCGAAAAAAAAAGATATTGAAATAGTCTTCTTCCCTGCTTCCCAAACGGCAAACCATAATTTTGAAATTTAACAATAACAACAATAAACATAACGTGAGCAAAAGAAAAACAACAACAAAAACCGGTCTTTAACAAAATAAAGCACTTGAATTGAGAGCGAGTTTGAAAAAAAATAGTAACAACAGTCTTAAATGTCAAACAAGAAGACGAATTTCAAAACAAGGGCCAAGACGCAGCAACAAAAAACGTGATTTAGTATAGGCCACAACAACAACAATAAAAAATAACAATAGCAACAACTTACCAAAAAAAAAAAAATCAAATCCAAAATAGTTTTGAAAAATAGTCCCTTTTTGTCTAACCCCTGTGTTCGGACCCCTTAAAAATCAAAATGTTGGTTAACTCCACAACGACGGCCTCCACACCCACTCCGGGTTCCAGTTCTTCGACCAGCAATACCCTGGAACCAGCCCATACCATATCCACAAACTCCTCCTCATCGCAGTTGCATCAACATTTGCAACAGCAGCAGCAACACCAACATCAACGCGATAGCCATGCATCCTCTTCATCGGTTTCGGCTTCCTCGTCCGCCCAATCCTATACACAGGTTCATCAACAGCAGCACTTATCCGCTAATTTAAATTCACGTCCACCCTCACGTGCTCCCTCGATTTTGGATAGTCCAACATTGGCACGTGTAGAACGTGCCCGGCTTCGTTTGGAAGCATCCGCTCAGCAGCAGCAGCAAAGCGGAAATTTGAATGGCAGCTGTGGCAGCAACATCAACACACTGAATCGCGAGGATAGTTTGGAGCGCTCGATATTGGATCCAAAGGTAATTTTTTTATTTATTTGTCAATAGATTTATTTGTTTTGAAAACTAGACTTTCGAGGAGTCAAAAAAAAGTAAAAAAAATGAAGGAAATATTGAAAGTAAATGCTAAGGGAAAGATGTTTTAAAAATTAGGTGGACATTTTTTTTTTTTTTTGGCAAATTTGTGCACAGTATTCAAGTGAAATTAAAACTAAAAACAAGAGATTTTGAAACTAAAAAAAATGGAAAAAATATTGAAAACAAATGCTGATTGAAATTTGCTGAACATTAAGCGGAAGCCCGGAGAAAGGTCAGAAAAAAATGTGGATTTTAGGTGACCCAATCCCAACGTTTTTGTGAGACTTAAGGCAAAGATTAGTTGTCCCAAGTCCCCTAAAAAGGGTAAGATTGAGTCACCCAAAATTCCAAAATTTTTTGTGACCTTTCTCTGGTCAAACTTATAATAATATTAAGCAAGTAAAACTTCAAATTACACTGTGCAACATAAAAATTACTAAGGGGAAAAATCTGATGATGGAAGTAGAGCTTACAAAAATGAAGACACGTGTAGCGGCGATTTTTTTTATTTTATATCGCAAATTAAACTAAGGCTTAACCCAACACACCCCCCACCCCCCTCTGCAAAATCTTTGGCAATTTTTGGATTCAAAATTCTTGGAAACCATTGATTTTAGGTACATTGTGTTTTCGGCAATATTGCAGACAAAAATATGAGGAGTATTTCGGTTGAAAACATTAACCCTAAAGCGAGCAAAAAAAACTTTTTTTGGTCCTCTTTTGGAAATATGGTTAACAACTCCCTTTAAATGGTATCGTAACCAGTCAAAATATTCTACAAAATTATGTGTCATAAAGTTTTACTATAGGTTCTAGAAGACATCAAGACTCCAAATCTTACCCTAACGCTTGGAATTCAAAGAACTTAAATTGAGAGGACAAGTTCCCCCATCTTCTACACTTTTAGAAATTTTCGGATCAAGTTTATTCGGAATCCGTGGATTTTAGATATATAGTGGCTTCGGCAATATTGCAGACAAGAATACGAGGAATATTTCGGCCAACAATTTTAATCCTTAATTGAACCGAAAAACGATCTTTTTGGCCATTTTTTAAAAAGATTGTTAAAAAATCAATTTAAACGAGGTCATAAAAAGTCAAAATAATCCACAAAATTATTTGTCATAAAATTCTACTATAGGTCCTTGAAGGCATCAAGACTCCACATCTTACATTAACGCCAGGAATTCAAGTTAACTTTAATAGAGGGGACAAGTTCTCCCCTCTTTAATTTATGTTAAAATCTGCAAAATTAGTGAATTATACTTTCATCAGTTGAAACATGTGGTCAGGTCTTTCAAAATGCCGCTGGGAGCTACCATTTTACGAAGGCTATACCATAATTTGACCAAAAATGCAACAAGAAATGATCTTGAAGTCCCTAAAAATTGGACCATATTTGCATACCTTTAATAATAAATAATAAAAGGGTCAGTACCTATTCTAAAGTTCGACCTTTAATTTCCATGGTCCTTCCTTCGCTCAATACCAAATTTGGTACTTTTCGTACAGTTATAGAACAAATTTCCAAAACTACCTCCATATCTAAACCACAGCAGTACTTTTCGCACAATTTCCAAAACCACCTGCATATCTCAATTCCAGATTTCAAGAGAGATCCCAATATAAAATTTTAGGATTTGAGCTCTATTCCTTCACCTAGTACAGCAATTAGTACTATTTAGTACTTTTCGAACTATTATAGTACGCATTTGCAAAATCTGTACTTTTTACAACTTCTCGTACAGTTAAAGGACACATTTCCGAAACCACTTCCAAGTATCAACACCAAATACCAACAATGACCTAAAAATCAAGTTTCAGGATTTCAGCTCTTTAATTTCCTCCATTACCAAATTTAGTACTATTTAATACAAATAAAGTATGCATATCCAAAACTAGCTTCATCTCCCAACCACAGGCACCAACAGTGACACCCATATAACATTTCAGGACTTCAGCTCTATTCCATCTACTAATACCAAATTTAGTACTATTTAGTACTTTTTGTACAGTTATAGTACACTTTTCCGAAAAAAAACTCCGTACGTCAATTTCTGATACCAACAAACCCCTTAATATAAAATTTCAGAATTTCTACTCTTTTTTTCACCCAATAACAAATATTGTACCATTCAGTACTTTCCGTACAATTGTAGTACACATTTCCACATTTTCCACCCCCATATGTCCAGGCTATACTTGAACAACGACCCTTATACCAAATTCCAGATTTCAAACCCTATTTATTCACCCAGTACCAAATATAGTACTGTTTGGTACTTTTCGTTCACATGTAGTACTAATTTCGAAAACACGTCTTTTCCACAAACCAACCACCAAAATGGACCACAATGCTACATTTTAAAATTCCAGTTTCATCCATTCACCCTGAACCAAACTGTTCCACATTTAGTACCATTTAGTACAGCTCATATACTTGGTACACTTTTCCAAAACTATCTTCATATAACAAAATTTCCTTCCAAGCTTGATTCTCATACCAAATTTCAAGTTTTTAGCTCTCTTCGTTCACATAATACCAAATGGTTCCATTTTAGATGTTATGTACCATTTTAGTACATTTCGTAACCTTAAGGTTCGAATTTTCAAAAACCTGTTGGTATATTTATTCTGCACTCCATCAGTGACTCTCGTGCCAAATTTCAGATTTCAAATTCATTTATTGATTAAAAAAAGAATAAATAAAAATATTTAAGAAAAAACAAGTTAAAAAGCAGTACTTCGGCCGGGACGGACTTTGAATACCCTCCACCATTTGAATGAACTTGGAAATTTTCTAAAAATAAAATCCGTTAAAAATTCTGGTCAAATCTTAAATAGCCGTCTATAGTCTATACGACGTGGACCTACATAGGCATTGTTGTCATAAGCCATTACCATATTCAAATTCGGAACTTGAAATAAATGGTGCATAATGTAGCTAAAATCATCAAAACACCGTATATAGGGAGGTATCGTTACATCGGAGCTATACGACGACCTGGACTTGCATAAATAATTTTCTGTCGTAGGCTGTAGCATCCATTACGAACTTCAAATATGACATCTCAAACAATTTCGGTGAGTATTGTACCTAAAATCGTCAAAATACCGAATATAGGGAGGTACTGATATATGGGGCCTATACGAAGACGTGGACTTGCATAGACAACTTTCTGTCATAGGCTGTAGTATCTATTACGAACTTCAAATACAAAATTTGAAACAATTCCGGTAAATAATGTCGCTAAAATCATCAAAATACCGAATGTCGGAAGGTACCGTTATATGGGGGCTATACGACGATGTGGACCTACATGGCCCATTTTCAATACCAAAAGTCGTGCAGACATAAAACTTCATTTCGTTCGGAAGCTAGAGTAGTTTCCACAGACGGACGGACATTGTTAAATCGACATAGAATTTTATGCTGATCAAGAATATATATACTTTGTGGGGTCTAAAATGTATATTTCGAGGTGTTACATACGGAATGACAAATTTTTTATACCCTCCAAGTCATGGCAGAAGAATACAGATGCATCAACGCTTAGGAACATTAAAAAAAATTTAAAATGTTTTGACGAAAATAAGTATATTTTTATCATTTTTCTAACACGACACAAATCGGAGGTTGTTATTATATGCATTTTTCAAAAAATTTTACAAATTTCTATAATTTTTAATTCAATATTTTCAATTCCAACATTGGTTTGACAGTTCATTGTCCCAGCAGTTGCGTCGATGCGACTACCTGTATTCTTCTACCATGCTCCATACTATGTTGGAGGGTATAATAATTACTCTGTTAAAAGCAATGTTAACTATGTGGTTTATGCTTTTGCTAGTTAAATTCAGAATTTTTGTTGTGTAAAATTGCTCCTCCTCCTTATAGAGATTTCATAAATTAACCGATACTATCGAAAGTAGCAATTTTGTTGACATCCAACTATCGGAAATATCAAATATGGCGTCCATGGCTTCTATACCAGATATGTTCGGAATGACTGTAAGCCGCCTGTCTATAAGTTAAAAGTGCATTCTCAATATTATGGATAGCATTTTGAGATTTTTGAAAAAGAGATTTTTATTGAGAGATATTTATTTTCTGCTACACACCCATGTTGCGGAACCGATAATTTTTTTGCTCAAAATTCTAGATGACTTCGTGAAGAGCAATTTTTTCAAATCTATTATGCGATCTGTGGTTATTTTCGAAAAGAAGTATATTTATTTTTTTGTGGTTTGCCAAATTTTGTGCTAAATCAATTCTCCGAGCTAACGGTTATTTCCACAAAAATAGTTTTATTTCTCTTCTGGAAAATTCCAATCAATTTTTCCAGAATATTTTTCTTCTTCCTCAGAGAAAAAAAAACACTGTGGACAAAAAATGTCACACATTGAACTTTATTGCAACCTTTATGTCGGACCAACCAACCATTCCGCCCATAGTATGTGTGGCAATATGCCACATGAGGAAATGGCATTGAAAAAAAAAAACCAAAACAATTCAAACGATTCTAAAAAAATTTCATCATTCAAGTGCGGCATTTGAGTTAAGTTGCAGAGGGTGGGCCATAAATTCTTTTTGGGGCTGACTTTGCGGTGGTCAACAACTGGACATCTGGACAACACATTTTGCAATTTTGCAGCCAAGGCGAAAGAGTTGTTGAAATTGATTTGTTTTTTTTTTTTTTTTGTTTTTTGCCTTGACTTAGTTGTCTTGTCCTCTGTGTGTGGTTGGTTGGAGCGAATGGTATGGTCTGTTTGTTGGACGACCTGTAGGTTAGTTGCTCTGTTTGTTTCCATTCATTTTAGGGAAAGCGGAAATGATATATGTTTTTGTTGTTGGTTACTTTGCCATAGGACACCCGACCACTGGCCTCATGGTCCCCTTTATGAGACACAGACACACACACTCTTACACATTTACTTAACTA